TTGTGACGTCTCACACTGCCATGGCTTTGCCCTTCCACCAGCCATTTCCTTCCACCAAGGACTCTGGAGAAGTCAGAATAACCACAGTCATCACTTTGTGACATCTCCCTGACGTCTGACTGCGCCAGGATTACCCTATGTCCATGAGAGATCCAACATTTCTAAAGAAAACATAAAATGTGTCCATTGCACACTCCAGGCACTCGCCCAGGAGGAAATGTTCCCAGCTGTAATGGGGTCAGTGCTAATGTCACAGGGGGAAATTGTACCACCAGCACTCCCTGGTGATATTTTTAGCTGGGATAAGTTGACCCCTGTGAGAGGCCTGAGCGGTGCAGAGAGGAGCAGGAACCCGTTCTGCTGGAGGGATTCGGGCTGCCCAGAGCTTTGTCCCCCCTCAGGGCATCCTCCACAGCATTCTTGGAGCCATCAAAGGTTCCAGCCTTGGCTTCAAAGCCTTCTCTCCCTCCCTCCAGCTTTCCCTGCTCCCTGCCTGGGAGGGCCTTTTGCTGTTCCCTCACCTTCAGTGGGAGTTTTGGAGCAGGAGGGCTGTGCCAATTATAGTTTCCCAGGGAGTGATTCTTTTGTTTTGCTTTCCAGCCCTTTCCCCAGGGAGCCAGGTGGGGGAGGAAGGGAATATGGCCTGCTGCAGGGCATGAAAGAAAAAGGGAAGAGAAAGCCTGGAGGCCCAGCTGAGGGGGAAGAAGGAGCTGGGGGAGGGAACAGAAAGCAAAGCAAATGTGCAAATAGCCTCGTTAGGGTAAGGGGGATCCTCTGGCCTGGGATTTGAAAACTTAATTAAACAAAGACTGTGCTGCATCAAAGGGATCCTCTATCTGTAGGGAGAGGGCTGAGAGATCTGAGGAATTTTTTCCATATGCTGTTCTCTGTTACTCACCAATAACAGGAGCGTGGGCTCCAGAAGTCTTCCTGCTTCCCTGATGAAAACATCGACTCTTTTTTAATTACCATTATTTTTGGGTTGTGTTTCTTTTTTTCCCTTACTGCTCTTAGCCCAACAGACCCGAAATCCTGTGAGCTGCTGTGCCGTGAGTGAAAGCCGGGCACCGCCCTGCCCAGAGGAAACGCTCTGACCACACTCAGGGCAAACAGAGCTGCTGGAGGAGAAGCAGCAGCTGCCAAAGGGCTGTTTGCCCTCCCTGGCCTCCCCCACTCAGAGACAGCAGGAAACGACACCTCACAGCAAACCACGAAGATTTTGGCACCATCACACCTGCACTCGGTGCTCCAGAGGCATCACCAGCTCTCTGTCCCTGGGGAAGGAGCCAGCAGACCCATGGCTTCCATCACCATTTCAAGAGGTGAAGTTGAGGTCCAGGTTTCCCCTCCTTTCTGGGTGCTTTTAGCTCTTCTGTGTCACCTCCTTGTCTCTGGGAACAGTCCTGTGCCACCTGGAGAAGTGCCAGCAGTCTCACTTGGGAAGGGGCAAACTGTTCCAGGAGCAGTTTGAAATCGTGGCCCCTGTGCACTGCGTCATTCCAGAGAAAACTCCCATCTTCCAGGGAATTAAAATTAGAGTTGAACAGCAGTGACTCAGGCTCACTGTTTTCATTTTCCATTTTCTGTTTCCAAGCCAGATCTACAGAAGCTCCTGGGACTCACAGCTCTGCCTGAACACGGTAGCTAGAGTGAATGTTTTGTCCTCCAAAACCTACCCTGAAGCCAAGCCTGGGGCTGGTTCTCTTTTCTGCCCAAAATTGTCTCCGGATGGAATATTTTATGTATGCAAAACAAATTCAGGTGAAGCTGAGACAAAGCCTCAGGTCCCTTTTTCAGCTTCTGTAACACCCACTGGGCTCTCTGAGCTTATCCCACAGAGGTTCCACAGTGTTGCAGAAGTCTCCTGAAGATCTCACCTGAGTAAAAACAAAACAAAACAAAAAAAAGGGATGTGTCCCAGTGCCATGAGCCCTGTCTCAATGGAAAGGAACTCTCTGGGACCTGCCCCTGCAAGAGAATGTCACTGTGGTGTCAATGGCTTAGACATGAGACCCCAACAGTGGCAGAAGCCTCACACCTGGAAAGGTGAGGATGAAGGACGAGCAATTAAATGTCATCCAAGTAAAGAAATGTCACACTAATTATTAATCCCCAGGTGCTGAGTCTTGGGGACATGCTGTGCTTGGTTCTGTGCCTTACTTTAAGTCTATGATATATAAATTACAATCTGTTGCTTCCTTCTCTCTTTACATGAAGTCTGAGGTAGAGATAAAAGCTTTCACTGTGTAAAAATACATGTTTGAAAAGTGAGGAAATAAGGGACTTGTACCCTTTAAACAGAAGAGTGTGTGGGAATAAGCTCATGCATTGAAATACATCTAGAAGATCAGGCTTGTGTAAGTCTGTTTCTTCAGAAAAAAGCTTTCACCAGGGCTGGCTGATGGGCAGGATGTGAAAATGGGGTGAATCCACAGGAACCTCATGACAGCAGACTCAGATGTGCCCGTGTGCAGTCGGTTTCTGACTGAAGATGCATCCCCCCCACCAGTTCCTGTTGTGTTTGAGCACTGACATTTCCCACAAAAGGCTTTCCTGTGGGCAGAACTGTGCTAGTAAATAACTGGTTTTGCTGGTGTCTGGTTTTGCTTGAGGAGCAGCTCTCAGAGATCCTCTTGCTGATAGAAGTGTTCTCCAGTAAATATTATCTGTCTCCTGAGGAATCCAGAGCTCCAGGAGCATTTGGACGATGCTCTCAGTCACATGGTGGAATTTTGGGGTGTCCTGTGAAGGGCCAGGAGTAGATTTGTGATGGTTTTTGTGGGTGCCTTCCAACTCAGAATATTCTGTGGTTCAGTGATCCTTTAAATTTGGCTCACAAAGCTGAGGTTTCTTCGAAATCATAACATCTACAATGTGCTCATTTTCCCCTGAGACTGAAATCTCAGAAACCACAACAACAGTTTGACTAGAACACCTTACTGCACAACTAGAACACCTTACTGTGGTCTTGGATCCTGGGCTGGGGGTTTATAAAACATTTAACCAATGGTATTGGACACAGGTGGTAAAAGCAGTGAGTGCAATGCAGCAGGATTTTCAGGACATAGCAGGATTTTCCAAACACTCACAAACTTGGAAGAAGGAGGGAAGTGATGTAGCACAAAGCTCCCACATATGTGACATGCACAGGGCTCATGTTCAGTTTCTGAATAACACCAAAACCAAACTGAAAACGGATTATGTTTGCATGATGTGATTTTTGTGGGCTGTGATTTATAAAATGTTGTGACAGGCTTAATCCCAGGGAAGAAGTGCTTGAACAGAGCAGGTAACGTCCTAGGTGAGCTCTGTTTGCTTTGCAGCAGGTGAGCTGACTTGTGAATAAATCCTTTGTTCCCAAGTCTGTCACCTGGAATTATCTTCAAACGTCTTTTGTAACTTTGGTATGAAATCAAAAGTTCTGTTAAGATTACAAGGTCGTCCAAGTTGCTATCTAATATTTGTTCCGTTTCTTTTTTAAATATCCATTATTGCAAAGCTTAAATCATGTTTGAAATGCACATTTTGTGATGTGAGGGGGTCTAGAAATGCTGCAAACCCTCTTGGAGAAGGGAGGTGAATGCTGGAGATCACCTTCTCAAAGAAGTCACAAAGTGAAATGGCTGAACAGCTCCAACCTTCAAATTATTTCCTTTGTTTGTGTTGCCTCAGGAAATTAGCCATCAGCTAATTTAGATTACAATGGATTAGATTTCCTTAATTAAAGGCAGGTAACTCTCAGATAACTGTATACACAATAAAAATACTTTGGAGCATTCATTACCTCAAAATCATTGTTGTATTTCTGTCCCTTGGCCAGTTTTGACCCTTTGAGGATTTTACTGGGAAAAAGCTCTTAAAAATAATGGGGGATTCCACAGAAGATTTTTGAAAATTCAACTGGTTGTTTTTAAGTCCAGTTGGGTTTCTGGAATTAAAAATTAAATTTCTGGACATCCTATCCTCTGCACAGTTCCTGTTTGGAAAGCAGAGTCAACAAGCATTAATTTGTACTCAAAATGCCTTTTTGTGTATTACATGATTAAAAGTATTAGTAATTATACCTGTACCAGATAAATCTGTCATCTCTGGCCCATGGCAAAGAGCTGAAGTCTGGATTAAACCCAGCCTGGTTGTGAGGGGAGGTTTTTGGGAGGTTTTTGCAGCAGCAACACTGGGTAGATTTCTTATATTACCTAATAACAGAAATCAGGAAGCTTGTTATCAAAGACAACCCCTTTGGAACAACTTCATTGTTTATTAGAGGTTAAAACCCATGTTGTATGTACAAATGTTGTGTATGAGTGAGAGTTTGGCAAAGCACATCAACAGCACTGCGTATCTGTGGCTGAAACTCCTCCGTTCGAATCCTCTCGTTTTCTCTAGTACAAAAAAAAAAAAAAAAAAAAAAAATATCAGTTCCGTCCGTCCGTCCTTTGTGCCTCAGTAAGCAAAGCCCTGACATGAAATTTACCAAAAACTCCGACTTACAGCAAATAGCTCAACGCACTTATTTAAAACTCAGGGGAAGAAATGAGTCCGAGAGAATTGAAGCGTTCAGAAGTGTAAACCCTACCTAGAGGGACCTCATCGGGCTAGAGACACAAAGAAATAAAACTTTATTTTTCACGTTAGCTGGTAAAACAGCAGTTCTGGGGCTGTTACCGCTCCTGATTCCAGGGCCCGGGCGGAGCCGCCTCAGCACTCCCGCCATTGCCGCCAAGAGCCCGCCCGCGCTCGCGCGCGCCGTGACGCCACTTGTCAATCAGCGCAACGGCGCCCTCTGATTCGCTGCCGCCTGGCATCACGTGGGAGAGGACTGGCATTATATAAATGCGGGCGGGGTCGTTGCTGGCCGCCATTTTGTCCAGTGAGGAAAAGCGGAGCTGGGGTCTCGCTGAGGGTCGAGTCGGCTGAGTTTAGCGCGGGCTCCCTTCGCGCGCCCTCCCTCTAAGCACCGGTGAGGATCTTCACCCCGGAGGGCGGGGGGGAGGCGGCAGCCGCGGTCTTGGTGCCCGTCAGGGCGGATGGAAGCGGCGGCGGCGGCAAACAAAGCAGCCGCCATTTTGTAACGCCGGGCTTGGGGCGGCGGCTGCCGCGGCCCTGAGCGGAACCGGGCGGGGAGGCGGCGGGTTGCCGGGAGGAGCCCGTTCTCGGCCTGTTCCCCGCGGGGTGTGAGGCCAGGCGGGGTGGGGAGTGCCGCGGGGTCGGTGTGGCGGCCGCCCGTCCGCCAGTGGCAGCGCTGGTCCCTCATGGCGCCCCGAGGAGCAGCTCCGGAGCGAGTCTCCGGGCATTGCCCGCGGGGCTCGGCGGGAGATGGCGCTGCCCACCCCGTTCGTGCGCGGATCGCCCTGATCCTAATCCCGATCCGGGAACAATGGAGCCTCCCCCGCGCAGCGCCCTCTGCAGACCCCCCCGCGCTAAGCAGGAAAAGAAGCGCAGGGACCTCCCCCAACAAATCTAAACAGTAAAAGTAAATGAAAATCCTCGAAATAGTGAATTTTAATCACAATGTGGTATAGCAGCTCTCTTGTTGGGTTTTAAGTTTTCTCCCAGCCTGCTCGCCCCTTCCAAACAGTGTCTCCATCACAACGCATCACTGCTGAAGTTTCAGGGGGAAGTAGCCAATAGAGTGACTTCCCGTGGAAGTGAACAAGCACGTGAGCTGTGTTAAATATATGTGAACTTCTTTTTTTCTTGTCCTAGCAATGCATCGTGACTCTTGTCCGCTGGACTGCAAGGTCTATGTGGGTAACCTTGGAAACAATGGCAACAAAACAGAATTAGAGCGAGCTTTTGGCTACTATGGACCACTGCGCAGTGTATGGGTGGCGAGAAATCCTCCTGGGTTTGCCTTTGTGGAGTTTGAAGATCCCCGAGATGCAGCTGATGCAGTAAGAGAGCTAGATGGAAGGTAAAGTGTGCTTGGCTTGGCTGGTCAAAATATGGGACGTTATAGGAGTGATACAGTTTTAAATTGTGAAACTTAAACTGCAGGACTAAAGTCTTGATGCATTTCTTATGCACTGTTTTGTATGGTGCTATAAGGGTGTTCTTATGGTGCAGCAATAGAATCTCAGAATGGTTTGGGCTGGAAGGAACCTCAGAGCTCATCCAGTCCCACCCTCCCCATGGCAGGGCCACCTTCCACCATCCCAGGCTGCTCCAAGCCCCATCCAGCCTGGCCCTTGGACACTTCCAGGGATCCAGGTGCAACCACAGCTGCTCTGGGCACTGAACAATTCCTTCCCAATATCGCATCTATCCCTGCTCTCCTTCGTGAATAGTATTGTAATGTTTAATTTTACATTTCCTAGTTGAGCTCCCAAGTTAGGAATTATTTGCATCTCTTCGTGTGTGTTAATTAAATTGCAGATGGTGTTACTATAAAGAGGTAAAACTGATTGTGGAGACTCTCCTTTGCTCTTTCCCTGCCTGCTTTACTGGCACAGCAGTTTTGAGAAGCAGCCAATCCTTTTGTCTGCCAAGGAATCTCAGAACGGTTTGGGCTGGAAGCCCATGCGGTTCCACCCTCTGCTGTGGGCAGGGACACCTTCCACTGGATAGCCTGGGCTGCTCCAAGCCTGGCCTTGGACACTTGCAGGGAAGGGAAGTGCTGGAGCTGACTCTGGGCACTGTGCTTTGACAACAGAACATTTTTCCCTTTTGCATTGTTGTTCCACTTTCTGGATCATATGCCCTATTCCTTGCTGCCTTCTCCCTGGCAGTGCTGAGCAGAGTTCCCCTCTCTCCCCAGAACGCTGTGTGGCTGTCGTGTGCGGGTGGAGCTCTCCAACGGGGAGAAGCGGAGTCGGAACCGCGGCCCCCCTCCGTCGTGGGGCCGGCGCCCTCGGGATGACTATCGCAGGAGGAGTCCCCCTCCTCGGCGCAGGTACCTGGGCACAGCACACTCCTAGAGCCCTTGGCACAGTTACCACCTAGCATCCTAGGAGCAGGCTTGTTAAAGGCATGTTGATGGATGGCATTCATCTATCTGATCATGATTTGGAAATGACAGATGCTAAAAAAAAAAAAACCCAAACCAACCCCCCACAAAATCGAGGTGAACTTGAGTTGTGTTGAATGTTGTTGGCTTTTGTCCGTAGGTGACTGTGCAGTTGGTAGTCAGTGCCCTCTGTCCTGGGCTTATCCTCCTTCCTCTTAAAACCTGCTCATCTTCTAGTCACACTTTGCCTTTCTTCCCCATACTTCAACTTAGGCTGTTCCTTTCCTTTACTCCATATTGGCAAAACATGACATACAGCAGTATAGCATTTCCATACCAATGGGTTTTTCCACTTTGTTTGCAGAACTAAAATACTTCCCAAGCAGGCAGCTGTTTAATAATAGATTGAGTAACAGTTGCTCTAAACATCTGGAATCTTGACACTTTAGTGTTAGCGTGGAAATAAAGCATCCTGTGACAATCCTGTCACTTGAGGTTTGCAAACCCAGCTCTAGCATATAGCAGGATTTTTGGGCACTGGCACATTCTTGGACCCAGACTAGTTTGTCTGGCAGTTTAAGTGTGCACCGTGGTTTTTACAGGACTGAATTTACCTGTGGCAGGTGAGTGAAGTCCTCCCAAGCCAGGGTTTCAAGCTTACCCTTTTGCTGTTGAAAAAAAAAAAAAACCAAAAAAAAATAACACATTAGGAGTATTTGTTAGCTAATAGATGGTTGTACTGATGGCTTGTTTTTCATTTTTTTTATGCTTTTTTGGTCCATCTATTAATAAAAATGAACCCGTTACAGAGTCACCATCATGTCTCTTCTCACCACCCTCTGAGTCTGCATTAGCCAGCCAACTAGCCCTTTCAGCGTCATGTGACCAGCGCGCCCCATGCAGCTTGGCTGGTGTCGTTTCACATGACCCAGGCATGGCCAGTCGTCAGGTTGCACCGCCCTTTGGTTCCCGAGCATGCTGTTTTCTCTCAGCCTTCTCTCCAACCTTAACCAAATCGGCAGCAGCCACCTCGACCGCCCACACATTCCCGGCCAATCAGCTCAGCTGTTTATTTACCAAATGTCTTCACAACAACTACAGCAGCAGCCTTCGGCTAACAAAAAAGCAGGAAAAATCCACAACACCCCCTTCGCCAACCAACTAAATACAACGCAACATCTGGCAAAACCTTTTCAGCAAATTCTTCTTGGCAGTCAGTCCGGCAGCCTCACCTCACCATTTCTAGCTTGTTGAAACCAAAGACTTGTAAGTTTTTCCTGCTTATACAGTTTACTGCTGGTTAAAATAAGGAGTAAGCGGCTTATAAGTAATTACTTTTCTCAATCAAAGGCTGGCTGTGCATAATTGAGTGGTAACGTACATATGTTGCTTGAGAAAACTTTTAAGGGTGATATGGAAGCTCTTACACTGTGAATAATGTAAAAACCAGGATATTTGCATGTGAGATGCCAAACTAAATTTTTAATAAAGCTCTAACAAATGTAGCTTTTCCTTGCCAGAAAAATCCTATCACCTTTAAATGGTTTTACTAACAGTTTTCAAAACTTAAAACAATTACTTTTTGGGATGAACTGGGCCGAGCTAAGGTTATATTTTTTAATTTTTTATTTTTTATAAGAAAATAGTCTAAACACACTCTATGGCATTAAAAATGACAATCACAAATATGCAGTTCTAATGTAGCACTTAATGGCATTATCAATATTGACACTGAGCGCATTTTCACTTTTTTTTTTCCACTTGATATCTCTTTATGTCTTGTTATGGACCTTTTTGGCTTGCATGGGTTCCAAAACATTTGCTCTGTGCTATTTTTTTTTTTTTTTTGGAACCACCTGTGGGACTTTGGTGTGGTGTTCTGGGCAGTGTATTTAGTTGAAATGGAAAGTGTTGCATTGGACAACTCTGCTCTGACGCGTTCTTAGTTAAGTGAATTCGTGGTTGGAAACGTGCTGTTCACACTGAGCTTGGTTTTACTGCCTAATCTTTCCATGCCTTTTACTGGATGATGGATGCCAGTTATTCTTGGCACGTTCCCTGGGCCCAACAGTGAGTTTGACAAGTTGGGAAATGCCTCAGCCCATTAAAGCTCAAAGAATGGATAAAGTGCCTCACATTTGGTTTTCTGGTTCTAGATCACCACGAAGGAGAAGCTTCTCCAGGAGCCGCAGCAGGTACGGATCCCTTCCCTACCCCATGGACTGCTCCAGCCCAGGGGTCTGAAAAGGACAGCCCAAAACAGCTCCATGTGTGGGCTGTGCACAATCAGTAGTTTGGTAAAGGAGAAACAGATTGGCTTCTGTCATATTGCTTGCCTGGAATTACTGAGCTGTTTGAGATTCCAGGGGTAGCAGTGGAAGGATACTGAGAACAGAAGTAGTTTCCTTTCTGCAGCTGCCTGGCATCTTCTGTCAGTTTTCCCCTAAGTTTAAGTCTTAATGTGCTACTCTCTCACAGATACTGTGAGCATAGGATCATTGAGCCCTGAGGTGGGAAAAGACAATTGAGTCCAGGCATAAATCAGAATGTGATTTGAATGGGATTCTGAAAAAAAAAAAATAACAGACCAAACTTCTCCAAAGTGCTACATACCTGTTTACAGCACATTATTGGCTCAGGCTGATTATTCTTCCCTCAAGAAAAGGTTAATAAATAGCAGCATGGATAACAAGCTTCCCCTGGTTGAACAGTTAGAAACCTTCACTCCTGAAGGGAAGCTCCTCATCTCAGGGAGCCTCCTGGGCCTGATGAAGCTTTGCTCTGATGGTGCTGTGGTCTGTCCCAGGTCCCTCTCCAGAGACAGAAGAAGAGAGAGGTCACTCTCACGGGAGAGGAACCACAAGCCCTCCCGCTCCTTCTCCAGGTCTCGCAGGTAAGGAGAGCCTTCAGTGTTTGTGGTTCTGAGTAAATGTGAAAACAACTTTGTGCCTTGTTGGAGAATCACCTCCAATGTCATAGGAGATTCTTCACTTAAAAACAACAAAATACTCAGTTTTATTAAATGAACAGTATTTTTAAAATGTTTAAATACCACCTGCTGATTGTGGCTGGGGGGCTTACAGGAAAATCTGTTCCTGACACCTGATCCTAACCTTACCTGTCTGTTGTTCTTCAGTCGCTCCAGGTCAAATGAGAGGAAATAGGACTGTGGGAAGGAGCTGTGTACAGGAAGTCATGAGATCCGAGGCCAGGAGTATGTACAGAACATTTTGTTTTGAGACTTCATAAAGCTTGGTGCATTTTTAAAATGTTTTAGCTGTTGAACTTGCTTTGTTCCTTGTATCTTGTAACAGGTGGCAAATGTAAAGATGTGAATCTGTATATGGTTCTGAGCAGATCCTATGATTTGTAATATTAATGGTTTTCCAATGTACCATTAGACATGGGAGGTGTGTGTGTGTGTGGAATGGCAAATGGTCTGTGTTGTGGGGCTGGGCTGGCCTGGGGGTGGCTGGGGCTCAGCTGGAGGAAGTGTGCAGGGATGGCTCCTTGTGGGATCAGGCCAGGAGCAGAGCAGGACACAGGTGCTCCATAGCCCATGTCTGGGAAGGAGAGTAGTGGGGCAGGGGGAGGGGGAGGGTTGGGGGCTGCAGCTTCATCCAGCTCCAGTTCTGACTGAGCTGCTTTCTATTCCATGAAATACAACTTTGTAGCTGTAGGGTCAGTTAATTTTGTACTTGGTGTGAGTAGAGTCCTTAATTAGGTGATTGTTGATTGACCACGTATTCCAGAAGCTCTGAATAGACCAAATCCACAGCAGAACTGACACCTGGAGTGGATGTGTTGTGTCTAATGGTACATTGTAAACATTAGTTATTAAACATTTCTTTACTGTACAAGAATTTTCATGTCACTTGTAAAATGTCTTTTGTGAGATCCTTGGGATTAAAGTTTTGGTTACAACTCGTTGTTCAGTATTTAACTCGTCCCTGACTGTGGCAGTCACCCCCCCTGGCTGTAGCACAGCTGTACCTGCTCCCCTGCCCGTGGTGAGGGGCAGTCTCACTCCACCATGGCAGTGTAATCCTGTTTTACAGGTCCAGCTGGGCTGCTCAGTAGCAAATGCCACCTGACTTCTTGCCTGGCAAGGAGCCCTGTAGTGATTCCTTGGAAAGCCAGCTGGAGATGCAAAGGTTCACCATGAGCTGTGTATGCCAGCTGTGGGTTGGGAGCAGCAGTTCAGGTACTCATCCCATCTCAGTCTGGAAACCAAAACTTACCTGAGATTCACTTCCTGTAGAAATGCAGCATGGCTGGAGAGCAGCTGGGGCTGCCACACTGCCCAAGGGCTCCCTTGCACCTGAATCCCAGATTGCTCCACTGGTTCAGTTGTGTGGTTTAGATTAAATCCCTCATGATAAACTCTGGTGGTGTGTGCCCGTGTTCAAAGGGGTCCCAGGATGAGGGAGGAGACGAGGATCTGACTCCATGTTTCAGAAGGCTTGATTTATTATTTTATGATATATATTACATTTAAAACTATACTAAAAGAATAGAAGAAAGGATTTCATCAGAAGGCTGGCTAAGAATAGAAAAAGAAAGAATGATAACAAAGGTTTGTGGCTCGGACAGAGAGTCTGAGCCAGCTGGGCTGTGATTGGCCATTAATTAGAAACAGCCACATGAGACCAATCCCAGATGCACCTGTTGCATTCCACAGCAGCAATAACCATTGGTTACATTTTGTTCCTGAGGCCTCTCAGCTTCTCAGGAGGAAAAATCCCTAAGGAAAGGATTTTCCATCAAATATGTCTGTGACAGTGGTGGAGTTTCCTTTACTTGGTGGTTTCCAGGCAGGGACAAGGAGGTGGTGAAGCTCTAAGGCAAGGATGTGCTGGTGCTGCTGAGCTGTGTCTGGATTGATTTATTTTTTTAATGACTTAGTCTTTGTTGGGCTGGGTCTTGAAGGTCTCTTCCAACCCCTCTGAGGTTCTGTGGAGTTAAAGACTGTGTGCCGCTGTGTCTCCCACCTCCTGTCCCAGAAACACAGGCTGGCCGCATGTGCTGCAAGAGGCCCTCACAGCCCTGGAACGGGATTCAGCGATGAGCTGGGAGTGCCCGGGCCAGGCCCGGCGTTTGCGGGGCCTCGTTTCACCCGCGGAGGGTGCGAGCAGCGGCTGGAGCGGGCTCGGGCCTGCAGTGCCGCCGGTGCCCGGCAGGGGTCAGCGCGGCTCCTCCGGCCCCGCTCTGTTCGCTCCGGGCTGCCCCGGCCCTGCTCCGTTCCCTTCCCTTTCCCTCCGTGCCTCTGGCAGTGTTGGGTGTGCAGAAGGGTCACAGCTCGCGGTGCCTCTGCCGGCACGGACGTTCTTCCTGTGGTTACCTGGCAGAACAAGGAGCCTTCAGTTCAGCTGCTGCAGGGAGAAAAATCTGAAGTGCCAGAGACAGTGGGAAGCAGGTTGTGGTTTTCATACGCAACACTCTTGCAGAAGTGTTCCAGTTTCAGGTTTCTGACTATTTTACTCCCCAGCTGAATGAAGAAGTTGCTCCTTAGATCAGAAGTGGGCTGGTTTTATGTAATTGGGCGGAGGTTTGAAGGGGAACACAACAAACAGCTTCTAGAGAAAGATGGGAAATTAATAAATATGTGTAAACACTGACTGGACAGCCCTTCCCACAGGGTGTAGGTAATGAGCTATTTTTGATGTACCAGCACATTTGTGGATTTCAGGCATCTCCTTCCTGTCTGAGGGAGTGACCAGCCTGGGAGTGTTGTGTTTCAAAAGTTTGCTCTCAAATTAAATGTACAAGGAAGTGTTGGTGTTCTGAGGCCAGGGCCATCCCTTGCCTTTCCCCGAAGATTCTGACACCCGGAAGAATCACCAAGCAGTCTGTCCCTGCCAGGGTAGGACAGAAGGACACTATCCAAGGCTCCTTGGCAGAACCTCAGCCACAGCCCTGCTCTGGAGACCCCTGGAGTGATGGAGCAATTGCTGCTGCCTGGCACCTTCCAGATTGTTTCAGGGCCTGGTTTCATGGTGCTGACAGTCATGATTTACACAGTGTTTCTAATTTGGGGAGCGGTTTAACTGCCCCTGCTTCAGGCAGAAGCATCCTGGGGTTAATCATCAGAGATCCTCAGCAGTGCCTGAGCACATCCCAGTTATTTTATACACTCTCCCTGGGGAGAGCATTGTGTGCAAATGGGTTTGCAAAGAAGATCTTGTTTTTTTCTTTTTATGTACATGCTGCTCTTTGTTTATGACCAAAGATCGTGTTAAGAATGTGCCTTGCACTTTAGGACATCCTTAACCTCTCCACTTTCTTTCTTTTGTTGGGATTTGTTGCACTGGCCTGCAGACAGGGTCGTGCTTGGCTGAGGGTTTGTGATCATCCCAAGCACTGACAGTGCTGCTGGTTAGGCTGCTCCATGTGCAGGATGATGTGTCCATATGCATAATGCTGGTTAGGACAAAAACTGGAGAAAAGGAAGGCTGACAGATATATGTTAAAAAAACAAGGAAAAAATCCCTTGAAAAATAGATTTGTTTTTGTCTGTTCCACTCAAATTCATCAGGTTTTAGGATACCTTATCCTGACCCTGTTCAGAAAGCTGAAGGGAGCCAGTATGGACCAGTCCCAGTGTTGATTTCAAAGCTGAGCCTTGAGAAGGATTGTCAAATCCCTGTCCAGAGGTGCAGCCTGGCAGTTTGTGGTTTCTCCTCTAAATTGATTTGCTCCCTATCTGAGATCAGAACAGAGCTGCAGAAGTCCAGAGCCAAAAAAAAGCTTTTTTACTCTTGGACAAACAGATGTGCTGTGTTATCCCCCCTCATCCTCCAAACCCAGTCTGGTTCTGGAGCTTTGCTCTCCTGTCCTCCAGCCCAGCTGGAGCTGCAGTGTGTTACTGATGGAAGGGCTTTGAATTTCATCCTCTGCCCTTGCATTTCCTTCTTTCTGAAACCAGAGAGACACCACACAGTGCCCATGGATCTTCTGCAGCAGCCTGGCACAGGTTATACCTTGTAGTTCTGAACCTCTCCTGCTTTGGTGGGGTCAGGAAGCAGAACCCAGTGCTGGAAGGGTTTTTTGACCTATAGATGTTTTCAGGGTTTTGTGTTTATTAATAAAATCATGGAAAAGCCCCCTAACATTGCGTCCAACCATTCCCCCAGCAGTGCCTGAGCACTTCTGCAGCTTTTTACTGCTCTTATCACCATTTTTCAGTTTCCAGTTTTTCCAGTTTTACTTTCATTTGCTGTGATGTCATCCCCATGAGCTGCCTCAGTGTCTCTTGATACACAGGTCCTCAAAGGGGCTGAATGTTGGACAAATTTCTGCTGGATTTGCTCCCTGTCTCTGTACCCCTGCTCAAATCCTGCCCCAGCAATACTGTCCCAAAACCTGAGCTGCAGTCCCCCCACAGGTGAACCTGCTCTGGAGCTGTCTTAGTGCAGAGTTAAACCAAATTACAAAACAAGTGAAAAAACTGGAGCATCAGCCCCTTTTGCAAACAAAAGGCTGAAGGGCAGGAGTGCAATTCCAGTTGCTCTGCTTTGACCTTAGCTCCTGCACGGGCAATGGCACCTTGCCATACCTGCCCTAAAGACACAGCTCCCCACTGCCCTGCTGCTGGAACACAGCTGCCTCCAGCTCCACCCCTCAGCCTGCCAAAACCTGGCAGAATAAAGCTATTTTTAGCTTAGCCATGTTTGCAGTTAGTCAGGGGCTTGCTGGAGCTGAAGCCTTATCCCAGGCTCTGACATGAGAAGTGTTCTGGTTTCCTCCAAGCACCATCACTCTCTGGGGTTGCTCTTTCGTTTCTGCAGTTTCACTGGGGCACGGCCACGAGTTCCTCTGTTAATGCCTTTCAAACAAACATGGCTGGGGACTAAAATAAACATGGGATCCAGACAAATACAAAATAGACATGCAAGAGGAACACTATGTTCGTTCCCAAGTGATTCATGTGGCTATTATTTAATAATTTAGTGGCTGACATAACTTGGAGTTGAACAAATCTTCACATTGATTGGGGTGGTGTTTCTGCTTGCTCCTCTAAGTCATTTTAGCCGTCAGATTTTCTGTGGGAGTGATCCCAGTTGGAAAAGGGAAGCACAAATCCTTCCCATCTGGATCCTGTCACCATGGCCAGCGCTGTCACTCCACAACCTCCCTGACCATGAGGAGATTCCTCCTGCTCCAGTCCCACTGTTGTTGTTGGCATTTTGCTGGCTAACACAGGGGTTGTCATGTGCCACTGGCTGATGCCAGCCCCAGAACACCCCGAGGTGTGTGACAGGCCCTGGGCAGCCCCGGCTCAGTCGGGACGGCGCTATCGGGGTGCAGCAGGGGTATCAGGGTGGGGCACTGTGTCACTCAGGCTGTCACTTGGGAACATCACCCCTGCCAGCTGTCAGACAGGCATTATCTCCTCATGGGCAGAGGCTGCTTACAACATGAATATTCAAAAATATTCAGCAGGAAGTCTCGGCGCTGTCCCAGCCCTCCCTGCTGATGGAGGGTTTGCTGTCAGTGTTTGACACAAAGCGTTTGCAGTTGGTGTTTCAGGGAATCCCGGAATGGTTTGGGTTGGGAGGAACCTTAAACTCATTTTGTTCCACCCCCTGCCATAGGCAGGAGCACTTTCCACTATCCCAGCTTGCTCCAAGCCCCATCCAACCTGGCCTTGGACACTTCCAGGGCTGGGGCAGCCACAGCTGCTCTGGGCAGCCTGTGCCAGGGCCTCAGCCTCATTGCAGAGAAGGATTTCTGCCCAGCACCAATGTTATTGCCCCTCGTGCACTGGGTGCTGCTCTTCCTGGTGCTGGATTGATCAGCTTTTCATGCACTTGCACTATAAACTTTGTGGGAGGAGGTTGTCCAGCTGGGGAGATAAGCTCCAGGTGTGGTTTGCTGCCACTCCTGCCAGCTTGTCCTTGCAGCTGCCTGGCTGACACGTGCCA